CACACTATAAACCCACGTGCAGTCTGCACATTAAAGAGGTCTCACTACTCCCCTTAGAGAGGGCTATCAGTGCCTTCTTAAAGAGTTTGTCACATTCCTATCAAATGTTGGTCATCAAGAGCACTTGACAGCATTCATGTCACTTTCACAAGTGACTAAAAAGTTAATGAATCATCATTAATGAATGAATGTGGGTCACAACACCAGGATAAGAAGAGCAAGAAAAGCAATGGGACAGAGTTTGAGGAAAGGGTATCTCACAGTCAGTGTGGCCACTTCCCCCACTCTCCACATCCCACAGCTTGGCAGTGGTGTCCATACTGCTTGTGGCCACCAGCGTACTCTGGGGGTTGAATGCAAGACACACCTACAAAATTTTTTTACTTAGGTTGTATTGTATTCTGTAGCAAAGCTGAATAGTATATGGCATATGAACTGCTCTAAACTCTCGATTTGAAACAGTTGTTTCTATTCTTGGCTTGATATGGCAATTTACTGAATATGGTCATCTCACCCATATGCTTACAGCAGCCCAACCCAACCTCTTGTTTGTGAGTCAATCACAGCCAATCAGAAAAAAAAAGCTCATTTAGAGAGCAGATGGACTTAATGGGAGTAAAATATCTTGCCTCAGACAGAAGATGAAACAAGCTGCCCAAGGCTCAGTCTTAGATAAATGGAGATTACTTGTAAATCATGCAAAGCTACTATGAGTCCAAGAATAAAAATGTAGACAGTAAATAAAATTATAGGTCTGTTAAAGTACTAAACACAATACCATAGCAGAACCTTGTAGTTTAAATGCTCACATAGCTTAAATACTGACTTGTGTTTCAAATATGAATCAGCAATCAACCAAAAACTAACACAAATGAAATTCATTTAAAACAATCATTATACATACTATTTCTCCATGTGTCCCCGATAAGTATGAAAAAATTTGCCAGTCTCGGCACACCACAGTTTGCAGGTCTTATCAAAAAGAGCCAGTCGCAATCTTGTCTCTAAGTTTAATAGAGAGAAAATAAAGCAATGAAACATTCATTTTAAGATGAAACACTGATGTGAATCTTCAATTGAGCAATGCGACCCTCCCATGTTATAAAGGTTTTCCCTAAACAGCTCATTACCCATAAGGGTTGTTGAACGCAATTGCATACACCACGTTCTGTGACCCTCTAGCAACGTGCAGCTCTGGCCTGAGGCTGTGTCCCAGACTCTACATGTCCTGTCGTAACTCCCAGTTATAAAACCTGCAGTGTGAGAGAAAAGGGGAATTGCACAAACTGTAATTTCTCCTAAACACAAAGTGGCAGGTTACTCAGTGTTAAAAACTCACCTTGACCCAGATTTGTCAAAGGCAACATTTGTCAGTGGCAATATGTGTGCCTTGAGCTCCTGGAAAAAAAATTGAAACTGGTCTGAAAAATCCAATTTAGTTATTGACTACATTCATTACATTCATCTTTAAAATTACCCATGTAACTTCTGTATGTATAATTCATTTGACTATAATGTAATGTGAAGGCTTCTTCCTCCTGGCCACCACTGGTGGAATAACTTTCTGCTCTCATTAAGAACAGAAAGATCTCCCAATTTTTAGATGCAGGCAAAATAATTCAGTAACCTCTGATCTCCAGCAATGCAACTGACCTGACTTCCATTTAACTCCCCTAATACATGCGCATGAAGCACTAGCGACTTAGTAACCCGATCACTGCTGCTTTCTAGTGCCTCTCTAAAACAGTAGTTACTAATTTCACAAATCACATTCCACATATGTAAATAGCAATCTGCTAATCGCCGAGCTAATGGATTGTGCCCGTTTATTCATGCTGCAAAATGTTACTGTTCCAACAGTCTGTGTGGAATAAAAGCATTAATATCATAACTCAATAAGCAACACGTGTGCCATGTTTCACAGACAAAATAAACTTTAGTTCATAAAACCATTCTTTCATTAAAATCAAGGTTACAAGGAGCACAAATAACTTTCAACAATGTGAGGGAAATAGATAAATGTCTTCACTAGCAGGAATTCCTTGTAAGCGTCATGTCTACGTGTTGATTTATTTACTGCTGTTTTGTGTCTGACCTTGGAGAAACAGAACCTGTGATGGTCCTGCTGGGTCTGTTTCTTCTGAAGTCGAATAACCAGCTGTTTGACCTGATCAGCCTGAGCCTTTGTGACCAGAGGCTCTGATTGTCTGATTTCTTCCACCAACTCATCTGGATTTGTTCTACAATTTTAAAACATAAAATGTGATAAGTCTTTTTGTAATTTTAGGTAGCTTGATGGCAAAAGAGAGAAAAAAAATGTAAAAAAAACAAAAAACAAAACAAACCAAAAAAAACCAAGACATTAGGAACAGAAAAGGGAAAGAAAATGGAAACAGAAAGGGGGTTTAGGATAACAAATACAGCTTAACAAAGATTACATTTACTCTACAATTTCACCAAAGTATGTTTAATGTGTGTTAAAATATCACTCCCGTGTTGTCAGATTTACACCCTTGTGACTGCCAGTAAGAGCTGAAATGAGTAATGTTGGTATTCCTAAAGTAAATGGGTCATTTAAAAGAAATCTCTAGTCTAATGTAATGCCACATTAAGGAATTGCAACTCCTCCACAGTCCAACTTCATAATAAATGCAACATGGTTACAAAGTGTTTTTAAATAGGGTTTTAGTCTGCAGAAAGTCGTTTTTTAGTGGTAATGTAACCGTAGGTTGTAACAGTTTGTTATTGACATTATCTTCAGTGCTGAGATCACACACACACACACACACACACACACACACACACACACACACACACACACCACACACGCAGAGAGAGAGAGAGAGATCCTAACAGGTACAACTCACGCACTCTGGAGTCAAATCCAAAAGATCTATTGATTTGGTCCTCAGAAATCCTCCTTTCTCGTATTCAAGGATTATACCTGACAGCATAAAAAATGAAAAATAAAAGAATTAAAGAGAGGCTGACATTACAACACCTGGGTTCTAGTTAACTTAACCTGTTATGTCTTATAATGACAAACTATCTAACCCTTCTGCCGATTTGAGTTTGAAAAGCGTTAGCTAACTAGCTAATGTCAGACAAACTTTAGGCCATAACGATTTAATATGAAGGTTAGGCACAGTCATATGACCTCCATGAGAAGCAACATTTTAGATAGGACTACAAACATAACTTGTATTACCTGGCGGATAATATCTGAGGAGAAACCGCTTGAGTTTCATTATGACTTCTAATAAGGTCCTATCACATCACATAGAAACAAACCGTTGTTATGGCGACCGGACTCGCGTCCGTTGTATTAGGCATGCGTACCGCGCATGCCTAATACAAGCCTTAAAGGACCGGCGTTGCACCAAAAAGTGCTGGTCTGCCAAAAAGTGATTTCAAGTTTCTATGTGTGTTTTTTGTTTTTTTTAAATTATGTGTAATGTCTTTACATATATTGATAAATAGACTTTAGACTATATATAAAATAATTACCAGTTTTGCAAGTATCTTTATGACCCGGTCCTTTTTGGCCAGTTAAAATATCTATATTGTCATGCTGCTGCTGTCTTTGCCAGATCGCTCTTAAAAAATAAATTTTAATGCCAGTGAGACTTTTTTAACGGGATACATAGGCTAAAGGATATATAACAGTCACTTCTAAAATTCTACCTTGTGACAGGAATGTTGTGTGTAGCTCAAGATGAGTTGATATCATTCATGAAGATTACTTTTGACATATATTTCAAATATTATAGGCCAGCAAGTCATGTACAGCAGTTTAAACACGGGCAGTCACTTTTTGGCAGACGATCACTTTTTTTCAATGTCTAATATATTTGCTCTAATAGATTTTAGTAAACTAGATTTACGAAAGGGTTGTATATAAAATAAAAAAATAACCTGTTTTTCAAATAACAGTTTTTCAAGGCTCTGCGTTATTAGTCCTACTTTATAATAAATTAAGTCCTTTTTTAAGCATAAATGATGTGTACATAACTGTGATGCAAGGTTTTTATAGTTAATTAAAGCTAAAAAATTGTAGCTTTTACCTTGTCACAAGAATGCTCTTTCCTGCTCAAAATGACTTATCACTACTAAGACATATGTTTCCGGTATGTTTGCCAGATCAGGAGCTAACAAGTCATTTACGACACCAACAATCAGTTTTTGGTGAATGCTGTAAAACACCTTTTTGGGAGAATCCCTTGTTTTTTCATTTACTGAATTCATAAATAAATAAATACGCAAAATTTCCCAATTTTCCAAACTGATTGATGAGTAATGAGTTTCAAAGTTTATTATACACTGTAGTTTGTTCATGAACTGTGGTGCATACCAGAAAGCAGCTCTCTGCTCTCTGTAACTCATTGACAGTTATCACAAACACTTGATTGCAGTTGTTGCTGCTAAGGGTGGCCCAACCAGTTATTAGGCGTAGGGTGCAATCACTTTTTCACACAGGGGCCATGTAGGTTTTGATTTTTTTCCCCCCTTAATAATAAACACTTTTATTTCGAAACAGCATTTTGTGTTTAAATGTATTTCTGGTGGCATTCATATGTAAATTTGTGTGATGGTCTGAATGATTTCAGTGTAATAAACATAAAAAAAACGGAAATAAGGAAGGAGGCAAACACTTTTTCACCCCACTGTATGCGGATGCCTTCATTTTGCCTGCAATCTCTAGCCAATCTTTTCATATAACTCAATGCAGTGAGTGCAGTCATTTGTAGTAATAAATTGTTTGAAAACATCCAAATATTTCATGTTTTGTTTTATTAGCAGCTCTGTCTTTATACTCTGGGAGGGAATAGTCACTTGTATATTCCCAATATCAGTATGCCTATTAAGAGTGTGAGTCACTCCAATCCCACAATAAATGACTGTACTTATTTCCTCACCGTTCTTCTTGTCTGTTGCTCCCTGACAGGTCAAAGTCTGAATAAGGCATGTGTAGATGATTAAGTGTTTATATTCTAGCTACTTACAAGGTAACCTGACGAAAGCTCAAAGTGCTTTGGTATTAAACCAGATAGTGTTTTTTTAAATCAAGACTGAAGTGCAACTAAAAACAAAAGGAAACAGCAGGGAAATCTCGCTGAGATACTAACATGGGGTGCTGGGCCAAGTTGAAGTCATCTGGATGGGTTTACCCCACAGCCATCCTGTCACTCTATGGATTTTTTGCAAACTGTAGGGTTGCAGAACCTTTCCTGACACCATACCTTATTGGACCATGCAAGAACATTTCTGAAGAAGTGGTAAGGACTACGGACACACTTTCTGTCTTTTATTAAAAGGCAAGGCAAGTCAAGGCAAGTTTATTTATATACCACAATTCAACAACAAGGTGAATCAGTAGTTAAATATAAGTTTTGAAATTTAAGCTTAAAAGTGTAGATTTGGTGTTTTATTCAAATGCAGCTGAGAATAGGTGAGTCTTGGATTTACCTGGATTTAAATAAACTGAGTGTTTCAGCTGATCTGAGGCTTTCTGGGAGTTTGTTCCAGATATATGGAGCATAAAAGCTGAATGCAGCTTCTCCGTGTCTGGTTCTGACTCTGAGAACTGATAAAAAACCGGATCCAGATGACCTGAGGGATCTGGAAGGTTCATACTGGGTCAGGAGGTCACTGATGTATTTTGGTCCTAAACCATTCAGAGCTTTATAGACCAGCATCAGAACTTTAAAGTCTATCCTCTGACGGACAGGCAGCCAGTGTAAAGACCTCAGAGCTGGACTGATGTGGTCCACTTTTTTGGTCTTAGTGAGGACTCGAGCAGCAGAGTTCTGAATGAGCTGTAGTTGTCTGACTGATTTTTTAGGTAGACCTGTAAAGATGCTGTTACAGTAATCAAGCCTACTAAAGATGAATGCGTGGACTAGTTTTTCCAGGTCCCGTTGAGACATCAGATCTTTTATCCTTGAAATATTCTTGAGGTGATAGTAAGCTGACTTTGTTATTGTCTTAATGTGTTTTTCTAAGTTTAGGTCTGCATCATCACTACACCCAAATTTCTCGCCTGGTTTGTGGTTTTTTGGTGTATAGATTGAAGTTCTCTGGTGACCTGTAATCGTTTTTCTTTGGCACCAAAGACTATTACCTCAGTTTTGTTTTTGTTTAGCTGGAGAAAATTGTGGCACAACCAGTCATTAATTTCCTCAATACATTTACCAAGAGCCTGTACAGGGCCTCGGTCTCCTGGTGACATTGTGATATATATTTGTGTGTCATCTGCATAGCTATGATAGTTTATTTTGTTGTTCTTTATAATCTGTGCCAGTGGGAGCATGTAAATGTTAAACAGAGGGGGTCCCAAGATGGAACCTTGGGGAACTCCTCATGTGATACTTGTCTGCTCAGATGTGAAGTTACCTATTGATACAAAGTATTCCCTGTTTTCTTAGTATGTTTTGAACCAGTTTAGTACAGTTCCTGAAAGACCTGCCCAGTTCTCCAGTCGTTTGAGTAATATGTTGTGGTCAACTGTATCAAATGCTGCACTGAGATCCAGTAAAACTAAGACTGACATTTTTCCACTGTCTGTATTCAGACATATGTCATTAAACACTTTGGTCAGAGCGGTTTCAGTGCTGTGGTTCTGTCTAAAACCTGACTGGAAGGCATCATTAGATTAGATTAGATTAGATTAGATTAGATGAAACTTTATTAATCTCTCGGGTGGGTTCCTCTGGGAAATTCAGTTATACAACAGTTCATAGCAGTTATTTTGTTTTAAGAAGTAATTGAGCTGTTGAGAAACTGCTTTTTCAATGATCTTACTTAAAAATGGGAGATTTGAGATCGGCCTGTAGTTGTTCATTTGTGTCATGTCAAGATTGTCGTTTTTCAGTATAGGTTTAATTACAGCAGTTTTTAGTGGTTCTGGAAACACGCCTGATATTAAAGAAAAGTTGACGATCTGTAACAGGTCTGACTCGAAGACTTTGAGACCTTTTTGAAAAAACTTGTTGGCAGGCCATCTAAACAGCAAGAGGAGTTCAGTTGACATAAGATGTCCCCGGGTCTTTGCTGTTAATCGGGTGAAACTGTTTCATGGTGTTTAAACAGTTTTTCAGTGGACACGGTACATATCCTGAATATGCTGTTGATGTACCAATTGCTTGTCTAATCTTTTGGATTTTTTTTCTGTGAAGAATTTGGCAAAGTCATTGCAGGCCATGGTCGAATGAAGTTCAGCTGCCACTGACACAGGAGGGTTTGTTAGCCTGTCAACTGTAGAAAATAAGACCCGAGCATTATGGCTGTTTTTAGTGATGATGTCAGAGAAGTAGGACCTCCTTGCACTCCTCAGTTGTAAATTATAATTGTGAAGTTTTTCTTTATAGATGTCATAGTGAACCTGGAGGTTTGTTTTTCTCCATCTGTGCTCATCTTTCCTACACTCTCTTTTTTCATTTTTCACTAGTGTGGAGTTTCTCCGTGGAGACTTTTTCCTTCCAGAGATAACCTTCACCTTAATGGGAGCAATAGTGTCCATTACATTTAACATTTTAGCATTGAAGCTATTGACGAGCTCATTGACTGAACCTCTGGACAGGCCAGGTGTTAAGGGGAAGACCTGGTTAAATATCTCACTACTGTGTTCTGTTATACACCGTTTTGTGATCACTGCTGTTGATATATTTGTGTGGGCTGAAATTTTACTTTCAAAGAAAACACAGTAATGATCAGACAGGCCCACATCAGACACAGTAACGTTTGAAATGCTCAGGCCCTTGGAGATCAGTAGGTCAAGAGTGTGTCCTCTATTATGTGTGGCCTCTGTTACATGCTGAGTCAGCCCAAAGTTGCCCAGAGTGTTACTCAGGTCTTTAGTCCCTTTGTCCTGAGGGTTGTCCACATGGATCAGATCACAGACAGCAGTTCACTGAGGTCATTAAAAAAGTCTGTGCAGTATTTGGGAGGCCTGTAAACATTAAGAAACACAACTTTGGATGGGGCCTTCAGCTGTAAAGATTCAAAAGACTGAAAACTTCCAGGAGACAGCTGCTTACATTGAAATGATTCATTAAATAAGACAGCAACCCCCCTCCTCTCCTGCTCACCCTGGCCTCACTGATAAAACTGTAGTTAGGAGGGGTCGTCTCGATGAGAACAGCTCCACTGTTACTTTGGTCCAACCAAGTTTCTGTTAAAAACATAAAATCAAGGCTGTGCTCAGTGATTAAATCATTAATTTAAAATGTTTTCCCAGCTAAAGATCTAACGTTTAATAAAGCCAGCTTAAGTGTTTTAGAGGTATTATTTGCCCCCTTGTGTTTGGGAGCAGTCTGTGGCACACAAGGTATGTTTACTATATTTAAAGATCTTTTAGAGTGCAGCTCTCTGTGTTTTGACCAGGCCACATGTCTCCTTCTGTCACCTAAAAGTACAGAAATTTTAAAACCTTCTAGTAAACAGGGACCCAGCTTCTCCTGGGAAAAGTCACCACTAGGGCTGGGCGATATATCGAGTTTTTTAAAAATATCAATATATTTTCATACGAGATATAAGATGTGACAATATCGTTTATATCGATATAGTCTATGTTACGTTATAATTATACTTGTGGAGCCGCAGGTTTGCCTCTCTTTCGTCCACTTATGTCTCTACGCAACGTTACTCGGCCTCGCCTCTCCTTCACTGAACACAACTCCCCCTCCCCCATAGCTTTACCTGCAGGCAATGACAAGATGAAAGAGGAAAATCTCCGCTAGCGAGTTACCTCGGATCGCCCCTGCGTGGGGCTGGACGGTGTCAACGTGTTAGCGAGCTAACCGTGCTAACGAGCTAACCACGCTAACGACATGCAGCCCAGAGGGGCTGCACGGCCTAAAATCCTTTCATTTTCTCAAAACTCGACAGTGCACCTTATGTATGAATTCTGGTTGTGCTTACTGACCGCGAACCGATTTTATGTGGTACACAGCGCTCAGCAATCTGTCAAAAAAAAATTTTAATATGACTTTGCTAAGCTACGGAGCTGCACCGCTTGATGGAGCCGCCTCGCGGAGTGATACGTACTGTGCTTCAACGTAATATTACCGTACTGTGTGTGTATAAGGACCACAAATGGCACCTGTTCAGAGACGTGGTGCAGCTGTGAAATCTGTCTCTTTGTTATTACGCTCAGCGTCTATTAGTTTACATTTTGACTGCACAATTGTGAGCTTTTCGTTATGCACAAAAACAACATTGTTTTCTTTTATTTATGGACCATGATTATTTAATAAATGCTGATAATTTATTTTTGAGTAATTTCTTCATGTACATCTACGCTGTATGTAAAGAAAATGCCCATTTGACATCTGGGACACAGTGTGACTAAGAACTCTCTTTTTGTTCTTAACTTATGGCTTAAAAAAAAAACCCGAGATATATATCTTATATCGCCATCCAGCTAAAAAATATCAAGATATGAATTTTGGGTAATATCGCCCAGCCCTAGTCACCACTGCCATAATCCTCGCAGCCCGGACCCTCCACACATCACACATCAGACTGCGGAGACAGAGCATGAAGGTGGTAAGGAGGAGCTAAGGGGGGCGAGGCTGGGCAATGTAACTTCGATTACTCTGTTGAGGGCGGGGCTCGATGGCGAACCTTTGGCTGCTCTGGTGGGGGGTTATGGGGGACAAAAAGGGATTTGGCTGGGGGGTAGATCTGAGCCCAGCATTGACCTGCTCTATCATCTCCTCAGTGAATTTCAGGTGTGGCGAGGAGGGAGAAAGGGAGGGGGAGGAGGGTGATGGCCTGTCAGGGGTTTGGGGGACTGGGGAAGGTCGTGGTCCTTGGTCCTGGTCGTTGGTGTTGTTGAGAGAGTTGGAGGCAAATAGGGACCCCTCTTCTCGCCTCTGATGTCTCTCCTTTCTGCAGCTCATCCCAGGTGGGGGCAGATGAGGCTCCTCCTCAAGGTTTCTGCTGGGCTTTGTCTGTTCTTGCACTACTGTTTGTTCCTCTTTATGAGATAGCTCCTCGTTTATCTCAGCCTTGGTGCTTGGCACCAAGCACAGATGGATGATGTATGGAATAAAACAAGTTGGAGGTGAACAGTTTCACCCCTGACTTGTTAAAATTAAATCCATTTGCTTTAAACAGATGCCTGCGTTCCCAAAAAATATTAAAATTATCAATAAAATGCACTGAGTGGTCAGCACATGCTGATATAAGCCATTTATTCAGTGCAAACAACCTGCTGAATCTCTCATCTCCTCCTCTGACAGGCGGTACAGGTCCACTGATGAATACAGCTGCATTCAGAGAGTTTACAGTATTTAATAATCCAGTAAAGTCCCGTTTCAGAACCTCCGTCTGTTGTTTGGACACATCGTTTGACCCTGTATGCAGAACAATGTTTGTCACAGTTGGATATTCATCTGCAATTTGAAGAATTCTCTCAATCAGGTTGTTTGACCATATCCTTAGGAAACAGAGGACTTTAGTGTTCTTACCGCACATCCTTTGTACATCCTTTACAGCAGAGTCAGCCACAATCAGAGTTTCAGGCCTAGCCTTTAGCTTTCCCTGTGGCCTTTTACTTTTCAACAGATTTTCAGACCTTACTTCACTGCTTTTAGATGGATGGTTGTCCGATATAGATCCAAGGTCCTTTGATAGTGGAGCAAATCTGTTCTGCAGTTTCACATTCAGCACTTATATGAAAGCAAAACAAAACAAATAAACATGCATCAGTTTTCATAAGCAGTGCGATATGCATGTCATGAAAAAGAAGTACAAATGGGATCATCAGTACTGTTTTGTGGTGCTTGTGGTTTCCAGCTGACCAACTACCTGTTTCCTATCTGGACGTATTCCTACCTGGCCTTTCTTTTCCCCGTCTTCCTCCTGACTGACTTCCTGAGGTACAAACCCCTTATTATAGTACAGGGGTTCTTTCTCATCACCAACTATATTCTACTGTGCTTTGTCCCAGGTCTTCCTGCTATGACTTTCCTTCAGGTCAGTTAAAACTTCTTGTTGTTGTTTCAAGAATGATTAATATATAACACTGAAAGGTGCTGTGAAAAAAAATACTTTGCCACTTCCTGATTTCTTACTATTTTGCATACTTGACACACTTACATCCTTCGGATCATCAAACAATTTTTACTGTTAAATGTAGCTAGTCACAATCTTTTTCACACAGGGCCGGGCAGGTTTGGATCGCTTTCTTACCCTTGAAGAAATCTTTTAAAAGCTTTTGTATTTATTCCGGTTATCACAACTTAAATCATACCGTTGTTAATGCATTTAATAGAGTTTATCATGATCTACTGCCTCTTTACAACTGCTCTATTCCATCAACAGGTCAACTATGCTGTAGTGACTTCCACGGAGGTTGCCTACTTTTCCTATATTTACAGTGTAATTCCAGTAGAGAATTACCAAAGAGCTACTGGTTACCTGCGCAGTGCAATGTTGGCTGGATATACATTTGGCGCCACCCTTGGCCAAATGCTTGTCTCCCTTGCTGGTATGGGCTCGTAGTATTTGATCACAATAATATGAAAAATAACATTTGATGCATGACAAGAAAGAAAATTATGAACTGAACTTTAAACAAGCACTAATGAATGATCAATTGTAACCAACAGGCCTGGACTACTTCTATATCAATACTATTACCCTGGGAATTGTGAGCGTGGCATTTCTCGTCTCATTCTGGTTGCCCATGCCCCAGACAAGCATGTTCTTCAAAGGGAAGAAGGCTGCAGCAGTAGACTGCCAGCAAGAGGGGCCACAGGGAGAGAAGGAGTCAGTGACGGATAAGGATGGAGAAGGCTCGGGGAAAGGGAAGATGGAATATAATGGCAGTGCTGGCTACTGCAGCAGAGAAAACGTGGCCGCTGCAGTTCATCTGCTTTGGCAAAGCTTCAGGGAGTCCTACTCTTCTAGGCATTTCTTTTCTTTCAATATTTTTTTTAAATCACTAAGATGCTTTGAGTGCCCACTTGCATTTAATTAACACCTGGGATTACTACTAATTGGTCCAAATTTTTATAATGTATTCATAGGGTACTTCTTTTAAACAGTAGAAGTAGCTGTACAGTCATCATCATAATCTCTTGTAATAATTATCACCATTCAGACATTTAATCTACTGGTCCCTGTGGTGGGCTCTGGCCACAGCTGGTTACGTGCAGGTCTTCAACTACATCCAGCTTATGTGGGACCATATAGAGCCATCTGCCACATCATCCATCTACAACGGAGGAGTGGAGGCTGCATGCTCTCTTGTAGGTAAGATTGGTGTTAGAGCGGGTTATTTTAGATTAAAAGTAATAATTACAAGATGTTCCAGTCAAACGACTGTAACAGCGTGAATGTGTCTACATCAGTCAGGGTGAGATACATATTGTTTGTTTTGGTCTGACCTCATTTATTATATATAATATATATGCTCTTAATAAATGACATATGAGATAAATTGAGATAACTTTACTTTTCAACTTACTTTTATATCAGAGTAGAGGAAAAATGATGTAAGAGGGGGTCCACTCATTTGTACTGCAGTGAGCTGGAAGCAGGACTCTAATCAGAGTTCTCTGTCTCTGCTTCAATTAGAAAAGGCGAGAAGACTGCAGCACAACCACATCATGTAGCAAAATAACATTTAACAATGTCATTACAGGCTGCCATTTCTGAATGCACATAGATCTATAAAAACCTGCAATTAAAGGGAATCAGCTGTGCCATATCTGTGGTAACTGATTACACAGACAATGTGTATTGATTTTGAACGGGAATAGCAGCACCCTGGTCCTTTTGGTTTAAGCTCGGCCCGCCTCAGTGCGAGAAGAAGAAGAGTAATTGCTTCTATTAAGGAGATAGAGTTAAAAGGTAATGGATTCTTTGATTATTACTGATAGTTGTTTCCAGGAGTTGGGTGAAACTGGTTCATCATAATAAGCAAGCGTTGTGGAGGCCAGGAAATGCATGAGTGTGCATGAGGCCACCGCGGCCTTTATTCTCCCGTTAAAGGGAGGTTAGAAGTAATGGACGAATCAGGGAATGACAATGGGAAGGATGCAAATGTGCAGTGGAGGCGCCGTCCGCTGGGATGTCAGACTAATTGCTTTATTTTTCTTCTTCATGGGCCAGGTGCTGCAGCAGCCTTCTCTGTGGGCTACATCAAGGTGACCTGGGTTGTGTGGGGAGAGCTGGCTTTGGGGATGTTCTCAGCTGTAGGGTCAGGTGCTGTGTTTCTGATGGCATTCACGAGCAGCATCTGGGTATGCTACATCGGTTATGCCATATTTAAATCCTGTTACATGCTCCTCATCACCATCACAACGTAAGTGCATAATAGAATTTCTCCACGCTGCTCCTCTAAATGTGTTTTAAAAGTGACAAGAACAACTTAAAGAATTCATTCAAACGGACTGTTTTGTCAGTTCAATACAGAGGAAAGGATGACAATATTAGTTTAGAGTCAGCTTACTGGTTGCAGTGCCATACAAATCTATTGCAGTCTTAGAGTATGTGCTGAATCTCTCATAATTATAAGGACTTTGTCACCGCAGGTTTCAGATCGCCTCTAACCTCTCCATGGAGTGCTATGCTCTGACTTTTGGGATCAACACTTTTGTAGCCCTCTCACTGCAGACCATCATTACAGTCACAGTTGTTGATGAAGCTGCACTGGGGCTGGACATCGTGACGCAGGTACGTGTACAGGCTGTAATTATACTACTGCGTATTTGAATGGCAGCACACGGGGATTTAACAACAACTCAAAGTCAAGAACCCGATGGTTCTTGACTTTGAGAGAGTGACACCTGGTGGTTATCATTAGCTGTTGCACGCAGGTCTATTTGATGCAGGTGGGTCACTGCCATAGCATAGATAAAATAATTCTAATAATGCTTAGGATTATGTGTCGTCTCTCTGCTCTGCAGTTTATCATCTACGGCAGCTACTATGCTGTCATATCGCTGCTCTTTTTGATCCGAGGAACCTACACCGCCTGTGTGAACAAACCCTGTCTCCGGCACACGGAAGCCAAGGAACCTGAGTGTGTGGAGGAGGTGATTGCTGCAGAGCGTCTCTGACCTGTGTCAGTGCCCGACAGGTTTTTGGAAGATTGGAACTAATTTACCTTAAACAGCTGCAAATTAACTAACGAGAGCTTGTAAATATGCTTTTCTTAAACACTACAAACTGTAACATTAAACGTTTATACACTGAAAAGCAAACATTTATGTGTTGTGTATTTTTGCTATCTGCAACCCAGACAGGAAGACAAACAACACAATAAAACAGTTACTTCTGATTGGTATTAAAGTCCAGAGTTTTGGGCGCTTACCTGTTTAATTTATCAAAGTTTTATCTCAGCTTGTGCTCGAGTGTCACCAAGATTGTGTTGCTCTTTGACCAGGTTGCTGATTAACAAAATGCCTAGAGAGTTGTGAGGTATTTTTCCCCCATCACACACTTACACATGAAACAGGAAAGCCAACATGGAGGCAGTGAAGAAGTGGAGATCAGACTGGAAGTATCCCACTATTCTGCTTTGCATTTATGGATTCTTCAGCACAGTTAGACCACTGGAGCCTTTTCTCATCCCATATTTGACAGGACCAGATAAGAATCTGACAACTGAGCAGGTATATATGACATATGCTAGAAAGGCTATAGTGTAATTCAATCAAAACAGACTTAGAAAAGAAATGATTTTCAGTTTTTCGGTCCTTATGGTGAAAAAGTTGGTAACTTGCTCTTTTGTACATGCTGCAATTACAAATAATCACACACACATGCACACACAAGCTGGTGATTCATAGCAGAGAGATAACCGGCATCTTTAAAAAGATAAAAATAAAAAATCTAAGTGATAGAAATCCAATCAAGATTCTGAAACCTTTAATCATTTGCTATAAAGTCATGCATTTCCTGCCTTTGATGCGTTTTTCCCTGACAGGTCAACAATCAAATTTTCCCAGTGTGGACATACTCCTATCTGTCCGTACTAGTGCCGGTGTTCCTTCTCACTGACTGGCTGCGTTACATGCCTGTAGTGGTGTTTCAGTGTGTTATGATCTTCATCACCCAAGCACTGCTGCTGTGGACAGCAAGTGTGCCAGCCATGCAGGCTATGCAGTTCTTTTGCGGAGTTGCGACAGCCAGCGACGTGGCCTACTTCTCCTACATTTACAGGTCATGTAGTACATCTCACAGATTTGGATTTTTAGCATTGCTCATGGGAGACTTGACATTTTGAATATGCTCTTTATTACAGTGTAATAGATTTGAAGAGATACCGGAAGGCCACCTCTTACAGCCGCAGTGTCCAGCTCCTGGGGTATACAGTGGGCTCCGTGTTGGGTCAGCTGCTTGTCAGCTTCGACCTCATGTCATACAACAACATCCTGGTGTTCACTCTGGTTCTCACTGCCATCGCTCTCCTCACTTCCTTCTTCTTGCCAGTGCCACAGAAGAGCATGTTCTTTCATCAAAGACGTGGGAGACAGACTGCAGCAGAACAGTCAAACGCAATAAATGCATCACTGGAAGATGGAGGAGGTGAAATGGTGGAGAGTGGAGAAGGAGAGCCTGATGCTGAGAAGCTTGAATCTATCATTACGCAGAGTTGCGGCCAAGTCCTCCTCCAGCTGTGGAGGGATTTCCGCCACTGCTATTCCTCTAGACAGCTGCTCTACTGGTCTGTGTGGTGGGCAATGGCTACCTGTGGGTATAACCAGACTGTCAACTATGTGCAGGTCAGTTATGAACAGTGTTGGGTAAGTTACTTTAAATTAGTAACTTAGTTACATTACTAGTTACTTCTATCAAAAGTAACCCAGTTACTTCAAGTTACTCATTACTTTCAGAGTAACTAGTTACTAGGGAAAGTAACTTTGGTTTTACTCAGAATTCTCTTGTTTATGTGTTGCTTCCGTAACTGGATACCCAGCAAGATTGGCAGTCTTCTAGCTTGCTTACTTGCCACAAGTGCACTGTGCCACCTACCAATAGAAAGGAAAAGATAATGTGCACATTTCCACGAGAGAAATCCCACGCCTGATTCTATTTAGCCTGCTTTTTACATCCAACACCAAAACTGCAGTCGTGGTGCTTTCGATTGTACTCAGAACTCGGAAATTCTGCCTTCTGAATAGGAAGATGTAGGTAACACCAGACTGCAGCTGAGCTGCATACAGGGCTGGACTGGGACAAAAAAATCATCCCGGGCATTTTGACTAGAGACCGGCCCACCATTATAGGAAAAATCATAAAGCCTTTGAATGAAAATAAACACTGTTGTGACAGTGATGTACACTGTTCTGATGGTATATATGCATCAATCTATCAATCGTTTGTTGCAAGACTCAGATAATTTTTTTTTTAAAGTGAGACATTTTAAATGAGAATAAGAAAGTATTTCCTTGTGCCCCCATTTCCCTTTTAATGCCCTACATGGACCCCTGGCAACACTTTGCTAGATCCGCCCCTGCACAGTTACCAGCTGTCAGCTACTTAGAAAAGGATCCTGGTGTTATTTGTCTCTCAGAAACAGTTCATAACTTCCCTTCAACTCATTCATGTGACCTAAAAGGTAAACCTGTTTCTCCATCACCTGTTCAGCTCTGATGATCCAGTAAGGATATCTCCTGGTTTCATCTTCATGTTTCCCTCTCACCAGATAACCAAACCGATATCATGACCAGCAGCTTTACAGCTGTGGCTCCAGCAAACATCAGCTGATACTAGAAATTAATATTAAATAAATTCTAACAACAGCTGATCAAGCTTAAAAGTGCTGCTGTTGTTTAACGCGACATCCGCTGGTTTCTTCTTTCTGGCACAAAGTGAGCGATAAATAAACAAGAGAGAAAAGCCGATCAGCTGATCATTGATCAGTTTCATGATTGAAGTAGAAACAGGAGAGAGAGGGGGAGAGAATGAGAGGAGAAGAGGCAGCTGTGCAGCGTAAACACAGAATAACTCCAGCTTTGTGTCTTTTTCATTGTAGCTGAAGTCCGGGACAAACTGTGTTCCTTTTCACCTCAATACGAAACGCATAATATTTTCTCTGAATACGAAACGATTCCGTTTTTTACGGGACGGTTGACAACTCTAATAATTAACCTTATGAACAAAATAAAGTTCAACATCAGTAACATAGCACCACCCAGCTGTATAGAAACTCCATCATGCTAGCTAGTACAGTACGAAAAAGTCAGCATAACGAAAATAAACTCCACCTAAACTTGGAGAAGGACCTCGGCTGGTCCCTCAACACCAGCTCCCTGCACAAGAAAGCCCAACAGCGTCTCTTCTTTCTGAGAAGACTGAGAAAGGCCCGGCTTCCACCACCGATCCTGACCACCTTCTATAGAGGAACTATTGAGAGCATCCTGAGCGGCTGCATCACTGTCTGGTTTGGGAGCTGTGCCATATCAGACTGCAAGACCCTACAGCGGATAGTGGGAACAGCAGAGAAGATCATCGGGGTCTCTCTACCCTCTATTGAGGACATCTACACCACACGCTGCATTCGCAAAGCCACCAGCATTGTGGCTGATCGGACACACCCCTCTCACACACTCTTTACACTCCTGCCATCTGGAAAAAGGTACCAAAGCATTCGGGCACGCACATCCAGACTGTGCAACAGCTTTTTTTCCACAAGCCATCCGTCTCCTCAGCAAAAAGGGACTGACTGATAAACACGCACACACACACATACACTAACATTATCACTCAGCTTAACTCAAATACCTCAAAACATTGAGACTGGACTGACTAACCAACACAAAGCGCAAACACACTGACCTACACCACCAAACCATCGCACACACCAACCTGTAAATGCTCTTTTGCACAATATTATTACTAGATGTATTATTTTTTTTTTTTTTTTTCACTAACTTCACTGTAAAAAAATATTCCGTAGAAAAACAGAAAATGTCCTGGTAATTTTCTGCCAGTACATTTTCTGTTTTTTTACGGAGGTTTGACGGACCTTTCTGTAAATGATAAAACGGAAAATTCGGTAGATTTACAGTATACTCTCTGTACTATTTACGGACATTTCCTTCAGCTATAAAACAGAAAATTCCGTTTATTCACAGTATATTTTCTGTATCATTAACTGATATTTTCCGTTAATAGAAAAATTGAAATTTCTGTTTATATTACTATTTCCAAGCACTTCTTTTCACTGTAACTCATTAAATATAGTTCTTTATATCCTTAAACGTACATTTCTATGCAATTACAACCTAGTACACCATGTACTCAAAAATTCATAAATTAAAACTTAAATTAATTTGTGCTTCGTACACAACAACATTGGTACAATTAATGTTAAATATTCTTTTATTCTCCTTAACTCAAACACTATACTAAAATATAATGACAGCATCCATCTTGTCACAAAACTACTAAACAGCTGATACATGAACAAAATAACTCACAAGCTTTCAAATTTGAGCATTTTTATTTCCTTGAAATCAGGTTGCCCTCATGTAAATGTGTTTATTTACATTCATTCAAGTGGCTACCAAGTGTTTTCTTCAAACAGGACACCTGACAAACAAAAAATGTCATATTTAACGACATGTTCACATTTAATAATATCCAGAGTACCTTTTAGTTAGAATCACTGCCTTGTGGTAGTTTTGCCTCAGCCAAATGGTTAAGGTGTGGTTTACATCCATCTCTGTCCACTTATGATACAGTATACACATGTAGTCAGTTATAGCCAAACACCTTTGATTACTGAATTGCATTCACTTCATTAATGAAGTGAATGTAATTCACATTTGTGTGAACATTTGTCTGAGATTAACTCTTTGGGCTCTTTACCTTACAATATAACATACTTGAGTCAAAATTTGTTGACTGTTTAAGTGGTGCCACATGAATACAACTGAACAGATCTAAAGAAGATGTTCCTGAACTTTGGGTTTATTCGAACAGGACTGATGGATAACCACAGGACTTTTCCCCATATGATAACTACAACACATAATAAATTAAGACAGATTACTGTCCCAAACTTAAAGATAAAAGTGTATTTACGGGACTTGTTTTGTCAGTGAGGAGCAAAGTATAATTAGAAGTGCTTGTTCTGATGAAAAGTTAAACTGTAAACAGCAGCACAGTGAATAAGGATCTGTGTCCACGAATCCTCAGCAGTGACAACACTTAAACATCATAGTTCAAAATCCTTAACGCACACCTTTTTCTCCACGGTGTTCAAATTCTCTAAGCTGGTTAAGTAGAGGAAAAAGTC